ATCATTACTTGGCCTGGGTGACCTAAACGGTCATGCCACAACATGAATGTTTTCTGATCATCTAACTTTGTGTTAGAAACCAAATTTATTTCAAATGGACTAATATATGTGAAATATAGTCCTGAGGAATATGCTGGCATTTTTTCACAAATATATTTAGTGCCAGATTTAGTTGTTGTAAGACAAATATATTCCTTTTGGTTTTCATTCATGGTTTCTATGTGATAACCATTTTGACGCATATCTTTAAAACTCAATAAATTCCTCCGTGATTTGCTGGAGTATAGAGCGTCATTTATAATTATTTGTGTCCCGTTAGGGAGCATCACATATGCTTTCCCAGAGCCTTCAATGAGCTTTGCAACACCTGATATTGTATTGACTTTAGCTTCAACTAAAGTCATTTGAGAAAAATATATTTTATTTCTCAAAATGGTGTGCGTTGTGGCGCTGTCTATCAGACATAGCTCTTTATCATTTGAGTGATCCATATCTTCAATATGTGTAAATAAACATAAGCTTGATCACAAATTGTACATATAATTTAACACAAAGTACATATATTACACACATTTATTTAAAAACAAAAGAAAAAGGGGAAGAAAGAAAAAGTACATAAAACTAATATGTTACAACATAAGGATTAGAGTCTAATATTTTATTTTGTGACATTTTGATTTATTGCAAAAGCATCGTCCATAATGGCATCATTCACGAAGAAGTCGGACACATCAAATTTTGTCAGAGGTGGAGTTGTGTCATTAACATAATTAGCTTCCACATTTTTGTCTTTGTTCATATTCATGGAAGCTTGAAATAACTCCACCAGATGTTTAGCCGTGCGACATTTATTAGCCCAGTGCCCCGTCATACCACATTTATAACAAGTCGTCTTTACCGAGGTTTTTGTAGGGCGATTTATTTGATGAGCCTTTTGTTTGCCCTTGCCCTTGTAATTCAGTCTTTCGACCCGTTTATATCCTCTGTAAGACTTGTTATTATGACCACTAAAATGCCCACGTTTAAAATGCCTTCTACTGTCACTGTGTGTTGCATTTGATTCAGTGGCTAAATTATGGCCAGATGGACCATAAATCGAAGGACTAGAACCGGTGGGTCTCAAATTGTGGTTTTTCATCAAAAGGTCATTGTTTTGCTCAGCTACCAATAATACTGATATTAAGTCAGAGTATTTTTTAAAACCCTTTTCTCTATATTGCTGTTGTAGCAGCATATTAGAGATATGCACAGTAGAAAAGGTTTTCTCCAACATATCAGCGTCAGTGACTTTTTGTCCACATAACTTTAATTTGGATGTTATTTGGAACATAGTAGAATTATAGTCACTGATAGATTTAAAGTCCTGGAATCTTAAATTGATCCAGTCATACTGAGCTTTTGGTAAAAGTACCTTTTGTTGGTGGCCATACCTCTCTTGTAAATTGTCCCATAATTCTTTTGGATCATCAACCAAAAGATATTCAGATTTGAGACTTTCATGGAGATGGTGACGAAGAAAAATTATAGCTTTTGCTTTATCCTGGGAAGATGATTGATTAATAGCCTCAATAGTGTCTTCGAGACCATTAGCCTTTAAATGTGCTAGAGCATCAACTTTCCATTCCAGGTATTTTTGACCGGATAGATCAAGAACGTCGAATTCTCGTTTGCTAATGTTGGCCATTATATAACTACAAGGAATTATTAATATCGGTGTAATCAGTTAAGTGTATATTTACACCAGCAAATACTTACCACTATATTAAATAAATAATTTAAAGTATGTTGAAATAAATTTTATAAAGAAAATTGTATGATGTATGCTGATTTTCTTTTCTTTTAAAAATTACTTACGTTATAAATTGTATACATAAAGAAAAGATGTGGTAACACTAGACTCCTAATTTATGTCGAAGCCTAATCCAAAACAGATGTCAAAATGACAGTAACGTGATTGCCATTTGTCTAGTCACTTTTCTATTAAGATATACTCGATTTACGAAAACTATTAAAAGAAGAATTTTAAAATAGGTTTGGTGTACTTACGTACACATAGATACTTAGTACGTATAAAGTGTATGGAAGCCATTTATATATGTTTGGTAAAAACAACTAATTTGAATGGTTTGAATGTGCAGTACTTAAGATATTGAAATTTAAAATTAAAATAGTGTTGGATAAGAACAAATGCTTGGCTGATCAAATAAAAGAAACCTCTAAAAGTTGTCAGCCATATATGTGGTTGAAATAGTTCAAATATTCCCAAGCTAAGGCATCTTTCTTTTATTTATTATTTAATCATATTAGTTACGTTGAACGAGTGATCAGGATTCCATTTAGATAAAAAAAATCTGCACTTTCTGATGGAATAGAACAAATTTGTGCAGATCATGAATTCTGACAATTATGAATTTAAGCAGTAAAAGTGTATGCCCGTGACCTGGTGCATGTGAAAGAAAGAAGATAACCATACGTAGTATTTAAATATCAATGTCCTAAATATTACCAACCAGTATAGTTTATCTCTACATATATACTGACAGTTTTCTTTCATCATTGCATTACTTCTCTCTTTCTTTTGCTTATGGTTCATTACGTATTTGGTATTAGTTACTGTTTTAAATTTTAGGTATCAGCTGGTGTTCTCCTTTACTCTTCTACTCCGTATAAAAGATTTATCAAGATTCATTTTGAAGGTATGTTATCTATATTTTCTATTCATATACTCAATATGATAGAAGATTTTATTTAAAAATTCAGAATAATATTCTAGTTTGAGTAATAAAAGAAGATGATAGATATTAATACCTGCAGGATATGATGATTTCTTGAAGGTTTTGAGCAGATTCGTGCTGATAACGTGTGATAAAATGAAGAAGATGAAGATCAAATTTAAGAGAGATATATATATATATATAAAGCTCTAAATTACTTCTTCTTAATATCTGTATATTTTCTAAATTTCTGAGTGAGTTTACAATGCCTCATCAAGCTCCTATTTATACTGTTTGAACTTGATGATTAGTCACTTAAGAGATGAATCTACAGATTTGGTGGCAATAACAATTTGAGCCATCTGTTCTAACTAGGTTACAAGGATTAAACATAATTTCTGGATTGATGACAAGGATGAATAATTCACACTTGTCATTTCCAGGATTTTACAACAAATGAATAGTTTTTTTTTAATAAAACACCCTTATATTTTTGCACTGGTTAGTGCAAAGTACAGATATATCTAGTAGTATTTGAATGCACTAAGAAGTTAATATAGATGACTAATTTGAGCAATAAAATAATTTTTGATTAGTTTTTGAGTTACAATCTAATTTCTTTCATAGAAAGGGGTTTATTTTTCGGAAACAGTCTCTATGTTTGAGTCTAGGGGTAAGACTGCGTACATCCGACCCCCCTTACCTTACCGTAGGTGGGAGCCTTTGCAGCATTGAAGTAAATGAAAATGAAAAAATGAAAGAGGTTTATTTAAGGGTCACTACTCACAAATGAAATTGTAATAAATCACTTTCAAAAGAAAAAAACTCAAGAAAACTGAATAAAAACTCAAAGGTGTTTAGTTTCTTTTAATTGTAATACGCTTTATTCATTTTTAAACAATTGTCGTATACTTTATAACTGTTTTTTTCTGTTTGATCTAATATGCTTTAATAATGTATTTCCGCGGACATATTTTGTGCATTATTTTTCTGCCCCCAATAGTCTTTATTCCTGGATCCGACACTGCAGAGAGCCTTATATCAGTAAATTTAGATACCCGGAGTACTATATTACTTATTAATATAATAAAATTGCTGAAATTTTCTTATCATAGTGATTGATGGGTAATTTTTTTTAGATATACTCTGTAGTAACATACGGAGTATTTTATTACTCCCTATTACTATAAAAGTTTGTACTCTGTGTAAAATTGAAATTAAGGAGTTTCCGGGTTAACCCGCGACTTACCCTCCAATAGGGATGAACGTGCTCCGGAACGGTCTGGTAAATTGGTAAAATCCGTAATGTATCCGTGAGGTTTTTAATTGTCCGGTATGGTCAGGTTCCAAGGATAGAACCGTTCGGTACCATGTCATTTCGGAACGGTACAAAACGGTACGGTACAATACCAAACACATGCTAATTTTTTTGAACGAATCTTGCAGTTAGTAGATATCATCACACCAACCAACTCACATGAAATGTTGAAATAAATACAAGAAATTGCATACGTAGTACTAAAATTCACAAATACACAAATAATGTAACACAACTAAGAAACAATATAACAAAACGATGACTCACGAGATAAATATCATTTTTAATTTAATAAGTTAATGTGAAAATATAAAAACGAATATCATCAAATTGTTGAATACTAGTATAATAGAAATCTTTAACATTCTTCTTCTTCGTTCTAGGTTAAATATTACTCCGTAGTTCTGATTTAATTTATAGTTGAACCTTGAGAGCTAAGATTTAAACCATATTAATTAAGTTGTAAAAAATGCACAAACATGATACAACAAAAAGTCATGTACACTACATTACTAGAAATAAATATTCATTAATGATTTGTAAAATTTTAATATTCTTTCAATACATACCAAAATATAACATAAATTATCTAAAAATAAAAACTAACAATATATATAAACACATTTTAGATATTTTAGGGACACATGAATACATACTTGGAGTATAAAATTGTTGGTCTAGATCTATTGATATAGAAAAAATATAAAAAAATTCAAATGCATTATTTACGAACGGTTCGGTCCAGTATTTTTTAGTTCTCAAAATCTAGGATCGGTCCCGTACCCGTTTCAAACGGTACAGTTTCGGTACGGGATAAAAATCTATAGAACCATTTAAATACCCGATATTCGGTTCGGTACCATTATGGGACGGTTCGGTACTGGTTCGGTTCGGGTTTTATGCCCATCCCTACCCTCCAATGCTTAAGTAGCCTACATTCAGGTTACCCCCACCATCAAGCAGTCTCCGAAAAAAGGGTTCAGTGGCTCGTCGATCTCTCTAGCAGTTTTCTTTCTTTTTCTTCAACCTTGTTCCGTGTACCATCATCATCCATGGCTGACAAGACCGAGTCCGATTCTCGCCCCACTCAAATCTCCAAAGGTACTGTATTCTTTTCTGGCATTAGTTCAAATCTTATTCCATGCCATCACATTCAACTTCACCTACTGGTTCTTTGTATTTTTCACATCCCATAATGTTTTTCTGTTCCCGTTCTTTTAAAACTCTTATACTGGCACTCACATTCTCGCTCCCAATGGCGGGTTATATGTGACTTAGTTCGTTCCTTTTTTCTGATTTTCTAATTATTCCTTTGTCACTTACCCTTTTGTTTTGACTCAGCCTTCTGTAAGCTATGCCTTTTTACCTATAATTTCTACGATTGCGCGTTCTAAATGCCTGTTAAAGGAGTGTGGAATACCCGCTCTGGAAAGACCGTTCTTGTGACTGATTAGTGCCAATTACTAGCGTGTATGAAAACTAATTTATGTCATAAATCTATCATTCTGTGTAATATTGTTAGCATATCTCTCTTTATCCATGCATCTTTCAGATAGTAAGGATGTATGCTAGCACCTTTTGGATGATGGGAACCAAACTTGTTCTATCTTAGTGATTAAGTTTGTGAAATTTTGTAGTATGAAGTATTACTACCTCCTTACAAATTACTCCTTAGTAATCATCCTTTAAAATATTCACCATATTTCCCTAGTTTATTATAAATTATTCGGGTTTGCAGTTTTTGCATTGTATTTTAGCGTTATAATAAGTAACACACTAACACTCACATAATTATGCTAATGGAGCTTATTGTGCTCTTCAAATTTAAATATTAATCTTCTGGTGGGGCTAACTCAATCCTTTTTTTAATGATGATTGTATGTTATACATATTGTGTTTTGTTCCCCTCCACCTTTCCGCCTTTTGTTTGTATTTAATAATTCTAACACTTGTTTTTCTAAATTAACTCAGTTCTTTTGTTTCATTTACTCTTTAGAAGACACGCAAGGATCCATCAATCCTGTTCCGCTTTCACCACAATGGCTTTTTCCAAAAGCTGGGGAGAACAAATCGGGGACATCAACAGGGGTGTGTTATTTTTAGTTTGAAAATTATCTTTTCCTTTGTAATATAATACAGAGTACAATATTTTAGCTGACATCGGAAAGTGATGATTCTATTTAATCACCATCGGTGATAGTGAGCTCGTGCTGGAGTCTGATATGCAGTTGATGACTTAATTGCAGGAGGTCAATTTCAGCCCACATTCAGCTTATGTGGGTCAGTCCGACTCCCCAAAATCCCCAAGGATGGGAGATGATGTTAGTGACCAACAGAAGAAGAAAGGCATATTTAAGCCTTCTGTGATGAACACGGAATCTGCAGGCCATAATCGCTGGCGTGAAGAAGAAAGGGACACTAATTCCTCTATCCGCTGGGACCATTCGAGGGTGGGGGATGGTGATGATCGCAAGGTGGATCGCTGGACTCCTGGTGGAAGGCATTTTGGAGAACCTCGCCGTGTTCCATTGGAACGTGTTGCTGATTTGGGAAATAGGGAGAGTAATTACGATCAGCATCGAGATGGAAAGTGGAACACACGATGGGGGTCTGATACTAGGGAAGCAGATCTGCATGAGAAACAGAGTGATTTCATCAAAGATGTTGAATATCCCTCAGAAAAAAGGCAGTCTAGTCTTGGATATCACAATAATGAACAAAGAGAAGGGGACAACTATCGTCGCTGGAGATCTAATTTGTCCCTGAGTCAAGGTAGGGTAGATCCCTCTCACCATCTAGACATGGCGCCAAACAAGCAGGGCTATACAGTAAGTCATGGTCGGGGACGTGGAGAAAATGCTCCAACTTCCCCCCCTGGTCAAGGAAGGATGCCCTCTCTAGGCAGTCATATGGATGATGTTTCTTCTCATATTTGGTCAGAGAAGGTTGAAAGTATCCACAATGAGTCATCTCCTTTAAGATACAGCCGGGCCAAGTTGTTAGATGTGTATAAGGTTACTGATATGACATCCTCTAGCAAAATTTTAGGAGGGGCTGTTCAAATACCTTTACTTGTGCAAGAGGAAACTCTTGAGCCTCTAGCCTTTTGTGTACCCAGTGCTGAAGAAATGGTAATTTCAAGTTGTTATTTTATTGTCTAGTTAAGTGTGTCTCATTTAGTCATGTATATATAAGTTTTCATAGGTAATCCTGAAAGGAATTGACAATGGGGAAATTTTGAGTAGCGGAGCACCCCAGGCGAATAAAGATGGTCCTGCTGGGCGAAATTCAACTGAATTTTTGCAGTCAAGAAAAAATCAACAAGGTTCTTTAGTTTTGATTTTAGTCATTTTAGTTTGCCCCTTTGCCCAAATTAGCATTGCTGGGAATTTGATTTTTTATGTCATTACCTTGATATTCTAACAATAGTTGCATTATCAGGCAGTCAAAATGGAATGCATCTTAGACATGATAATTACAGAGATGAGACTACAGATGATAAAAGAGGCAGGCATTCCAAACCCTTCTATGAGAGACATATACACTCTTCGCACTTCAACTCTAAATTTGAGGTCACACAGGATTCTGAAAGATTTTCTGACCTCAAGTTGAATGCTGAAGGAAAGTGGAGACCATCATATATTAGTGACCGGCCACATGTAGTCTCTAAAGGATTTACAACGATGCCTATGAATGCTGGCTCCAATATTGGCTGGTCTGACCCCCATACAGATTTGGCTGATGAGCGTCACAGAAGTCTAACAGATTCATCTTACACCAAAAGTGAAGGACAAAAACAACAACATGGGAATGATCAGTTGCTCAAAAGACACGATTCTGTTATTCTAGACAAGTCAGAGTCAGATTTGCAAAAGTTGCCACAACCATCCCCAGAAAACCTAGTGCTTTATTACAAAGATCCACATGGTGAAATTCAAGGCCCGTTCTCTGGCGGTGATATCATTGGTTGGTTTGAGGCTGGATATTTTGGAATAGATTTACTTGTTCGTTTAGCGGGTGCCCCGGCAAATGTACCATTTTCTCAACTTGGGGATATTATGCCTCACTTGTGTCCCAAGCCACGACCACCCCCTGGTTTTGGTACACCAAAGCCTAACATTGATGTTTCAACTGGAATGAATTTAAATGCCTCCGAAAATGTTCTTTCAGGTCCAACTGAGAATGATTCTTCAAAAAGTGGTCAAAGATATAATCCCAGCTCAACATGTGGTGAGGCTGAGAATAGGTTTTTGGAGTCGCTCATGTCTGGTAGCATGAGTAATGCACCCATGGAGAAGTTTGTTCACTCAGAAGGTCAGTTCCCATTATGAGATTTGTATTGCATTTAATCCTTTTGTTCTGCCTTTCATTTTGTTTTGCAATACGTTATGCAACATGCACTGATATTTTTGGGGTCAATTAGTCTTCTGTGAGACTCTAAAGAATTAACATTTTTCTTCTGCTAATTGATAGGGGAAAATCTGTACGCCCTGGCAAAAATGATGTCACTTGAGAGGCAAACATCCTTACCAAATTCTTATTGGTCAGCAAAAGAGGTCAATCCTGTTGTTCCAACACCAGATGTGGTTCATGATAATGCTCTCCAACACCAGATGTCTTTACTTCCAGGTATGCCAGATAGATCAGCAGGAATGAACAGTGGTTGGTCCAACTTCCCCTCTCAAGGAGGACTGGGGAACCTTCAAAGCTCACTAGAAATGCACAATGCTCAACGATTGAACACCCAAGCTGCGTTTGGTGGGAACCAGCAACCGAGACTACCAGCACAAAACCCTTCTTTATATGAGTTTATGGGTCAAACATGGGAGAATAAGCCGACCAGCATTTTAGCCCCTCCCGGGATTTCCCAAGATCCACAAGTGTTAGGTTTGCTTCAGCAGCAGTACTTATTGCAGCTGCAAGCACAGTCTACATTGCCACCTCAGCAACTTTTGGTTCTGGAAAAACTGTTGTTACTCAAGAAGCAGGAACAAGAACAACAACAATTAGCACACCAACAACAACTGCTTTCTCAGATTCTGGCAAACAATCATTCTTCCGAGCAGCACATTGGTGAACATCTGTCATATGCCCAATCACAAAAGAATGGGACATCGACAGGAAATCTCACAACCATAGATCTTGCCCATTTACAACCACCACATGCTTTGTTTACCCCGAGCACTCAAAATCCGGTACCTGATATAGCTACAGGAAATCTAGCTACTACAGGCCATGCCTACTCACAGCCATCACATGGTTTGTATGCTCTGGGAACCCTAAATCAGGTACCAGATATAGCTTCAGCATATCTTACTACTACGGGTCATGCCCACACGCAGCCACCACATGCGTTATTTACCCCGCACACCCAAAGTCAAGTACCTGCTATACCCACTGGAAATCTTACTGTGGGTCAGGCTCATTTACAGCCGCCACATGCTTTGTTTACTCCGGGCACCCAAAGTCAGATACCTGCCATGGAAGAAGACCGAGCTTCAGATTACTGTGCCTTGCCAACTACCATTTCTCTGGATATGGCAAATCGCAATGTCAGTTCTGAAACCTCTTCTATACATTTGCCACATCAACTTTTTGGAGCTCATCATAAATCAGAAAGTACCAAACCTGCCTCAGTAATGAATTCTGTGGCTGTTCCAAAATTTACACCTCCCTCTGGGCATGATATTCAATTCAGTCTTGATAAGAAAAGTGAACATGTACAGCCATTACCTGAATGCCATAAGAATCAACAATGTGAAGGTGATCAAAGAGCCTTTGAATTGTCCTTGGTAAATAATGAAATGAAGGATGTTGAGTCATCTTCTCTGAAGGACACAAAGAGTACTGCATCATGTGAAGTTAAGAAATCCATAGAGAAGAAACCAAAAAAGCAAAAGTCTGCTAAAATGCAAGCTGTTGACACTGGGAATGGATTGTCTCAGACAAAAAACTCAAAGTCATCAGAATCTAAGGGCATTGCTCTTTCTCATGTGATATCTGAAGCACATGGTTATCCAACTGCATTAGATGTAGCCTCTGAACCTGAAACATTGGAGAGGAAAAAAAACAAAGTTGTGGTCAATAATGTGAATGCACAACCAGAGGGAAGTGAAAATGATGGAACAAAGGTGTCTGATATTGAAGATGATGGTGAACCTTTTATTGAAATAAAAAATACGGAAAAAAATCGCAAGAAGTCGGCAAAAGCTAAGGGGGCGTCATCTAGGAACTCGGCACATGTTGTTCTTCCTGTGGAAATTTCTGAAGGATCAACAAGCCTCATTGAGAACAAAGGCAAGAGTGGTTCTCGTCAATCTCAAACGGATAAAGATGCTTTACTTGCTGTACCTTCGGGCCCTTCTCTGGGAGATTTTGTTTTGTGGAAGGCTGAGAGTGCAAACCCTTCCGCTCCTACTCCCGCGTGGTCTGGCTCTGGAAAAATACCAAAACCCACATCTTTGAGAGACATCTTGAAGGAGCAAGGAAAGAAGGCTCCTCATGGTCAACAGCAGCACATTCAAGTGCCAACACCACAGAAACCTGGTCCGAGTCAACCGGCTGTAGGAGGAGCCACAGAAACCTCACGGTCAACAGCAGCACATTCATGGTCACTTACTGCTTCCTCTCCTTCCAAGACTGCTACCCCAATTCAGATCAGTACACGAGGAGCTCCACAAGAAAACATTCAAGAAGATGATTTGTTTTGGGGGCCAGTAGAGCATCCGAAGCAAGATGGAAAACAGTATGACCACTCCTCTCTCCTCCTCTCTCAGTTATATTCATCGTTTGAACTCCTAATTTTGCAGTGTTATGATAATGGTGTGAAAATTTATCATATCATATTTTCAATTTCTTAGTATTGTAACATCTCTGTTTTTAGTGTCCTGGAATGGCGCACTAAAGTTTTGATGTACATGCTCAACTCTTGTGGAGCCTTTAAGCACATGTGGAAGTTATATTAGGATAGTATGAGTATTAAACTGATTTACAATGACCTATATTCCATCAAGATTATGACAATAAATAGTTTATAGCAAGGTTGTCAAAGTCGTGAGGCGCACTCAAGGCGACGGAGTACTCCCATCGCCTGAGGCGCAAGGTGCAAAAAAGTGCTCACCTAACGCATGTAAGGTGCATTACTTAGAAAATATCACATATACTATTATGCAAGTATCAAACATGATGTATATAACATAATATTGAACCAACTACATTAAAAAGTCATGTTTCTAAAAAATATAGTCATGATTCACCAAAATAAAGGCATGCATTTGCATCATTTTCATGAGCCAAGTAATTTTGTTTTAAAGCCGGGTCTGTTTTTGCTGATTTGGCAGCTTGAGGACCTGTGGCCGAAGTTGGACTTTTCATGTCCTGTAAATGTACAAGGCAGATATTATTTATACAGTATACTTCATGAAACTATTCACTGATTAGATTATATGAAGTGTACATGAATACAAATATTAAATAAGAAAATGCTGATAAATGGAACAATAATTAGAAAAATGGAAAATATTTTCTAATTAAATGATTAGAAAAAGGAATAATGAAGAGAGTCACACATGACAGACGACTATATTGGTAGTTTACAAATATATATGTTTGACTTGTATAGAGTTTATAAGAAGTAGATGCTGAAAGAAGAAAAAAACAAAGAAAATGGAACAGTGAAGGAGAAGAAAACTTGCTTTCATTGATTGTGCTGCCATCTTCTGCAGTTGATGAATGATGTGGGGATAGCGAAGACTGAGGTAATGGGAGTAGAGCAGAGCAGGAGAGTTAAAGACTTGAGTAGCGAACACTGAATTTTGTTGATTAACGCAAATTTACATAGTTTTGACCTTTTATTTAGATATTTAGTTGGGCTTTATCATATTAAAGATATGGGCTTCTTAATAAATAATAGGGCTGGCAATATCACCCGCACCCGCGGATATCCGGTCAATCTGAACCAAAAATATGGACGAAAACCCGAAAAAGTATGGATGAAAAATGGATGACAGGTGGATTGAAAGACGGGTTGGATTGGGTGTGGATGAAACAACTCATCCAATCCACCACCCAACCCGTCACCCGGTCCATCCACCCACCCTCTAACCCGCATATAAAAATTAATAAACATTATATTATATATAATATCTATTTAATACTCCCTCGGTCCCTTAAAACTTTGTCAACTTTCCTTTTTTGGATGTCCCACTAACTTTGCCACTTTTTTATTTTAAGTAAAGAATTTATGGCTACAATCAATTCTCTCTCCTCTGCACAAACCTCTATCACATAGTTTTTATTTTATTATTAATCCTCGTACCGGTCAAACTTGGCAAAGTTTTAAGGGACAGAGGAGTAATATATATACTGATTAATATTAATGTATTACAGAGTGATGGATATGTATTTGTTAATGGAGAAGACACATATCTATGAATTGTTGAAATAAAGACAATTGAAGAGTTTCAAGAAGTGGCAATTGAACTGCAAAAATAGTTTTATGCCGATGCAGAAATGTAGAATTTGACAGCTTGAAAAAGTTTTATGTCTGTTTTGTTTGATAATCACTTTTCTTTATTGTAGTGAATTAATGATTGTGATATACGTAATTGTTCAAGTTTTTGTTGTTATTATTCAATGAATTTTTATATTGTGGTTTTTAATTGTCATAATTTCTATTTATAATATATTTATTTTGTATTCAAGTTAAACCATTTATGTTCACCCATTACTCACCCGATCCACCCGATAACCCGCTCATGATGGATGGGTTGGGTGTGGATGTAATTTTTAATGGATGATGGATGGATGGGTGGAATATGAAAAATTAACGGGTGGACGTGGATGAGCCTTCATCCGGTATAGATCCGACCCGCTGCCACCCCCTACTTATTTAAAAAAGTCTGAAACTAAAATATTAGGCTTAAAGTTTCCACCTCAGGCGAGATTAGCGAGCGCTTTTGTGCTTCTGCGCCTTACACAGATAACTGTGCCTGGCCTTTGTTCAGTCGAAAGGGTTGATGTGCGCTGCGCCCGGTGCGCTTAAGCGCCCAAGCGCTCGCTTTTGACTACCTTGGTTTCTAGAAATTATAAGACCAGAATATTGAAGTCAGTTAAGTGTCCTTGAAATGTGCTGGCATGTGATGAATTTTTACTCTGCCTAAGTTTTCTCTGATTTGTAGGTGGGGGTCAGTTAAAGGTTGCATTCCCAGTGGATCATTTAGCAAGCAAAATTCGATTAGCAGAACCCCTGACCCGGGTCGGTCAACATCTTTGACAGGGAATAAAGTTCTCCCAACAAAGCACTCAGGTGTGTAAACACAACTGCATGTCTACTACCTATGTTGAAAAAGTTTGATGCAAAAAACACTGACCCACATTGTATTATATATATGTGTGTGTGTATATATTCCAGAAGCCACTGATTTCAGAAAGTGGTGTGAAAGTGAGTGTGAACGGCTCCTCGGGTCCAGAGGTATTTTACATTCACTGGGTTGTTTTATTTTTCCCTTGTATTTCTCGAATCTTCTTTAATTCATTATTATTGTTGGTTTGTCTTCCAGATACAAGCATTCTAGAGTATTGTTTAACACAATCCAGATACGAGGCTGAAATGCTGCTTATCCAGAATATGGGCTCCTTTGATCCTGAGCATCACTTTATCAACCAGTTCCTAAGCTACAAGGACTTCTTGGCCTCTGATGTTCTTGCTATGGCCTTCGACAGTCTGAAAGATCTAAAGGTCTCCACTGGTAAAAGTGCTTCTGGAGATGCGACTTCGGATGCAGGTCCGGGCAGCGATGCTGGTGGTGCTTGGAATGTGGTCACGAGAGGGGGTGAAAAGAAAAAGGGAAAAAAAGGTAAATAAGTCAGAGCTTGGGCTTAATGTGGAGGAGATCCAGAGCTTAGATTAAATACTGAACTAGGTGTAAATACTGTTTTTAGCAATTGAGACTGTACATGGAATGGATGGCTTGTTGAAATTTAGATTTCTTACAGGGAGTAAAGCTCAGCAGTAATATTTCATGTGCACCGGCAATTTTTGCGGCCTTTTTGCGCTGTTCTTTTTGTTTGTCATTGGTTTTGATCTTCTAAACTAATCAGGTTGTGCTTATGTTGGCAAATTGACAATGGGCAATAGTACCTCACATGATTATAACCGCATTGTTGTGAATTACTAATATGCTCTTGAGCTCGATATTTGTTTACTTGGTGAGAATACTATTTTATGGTTTATTTTGTTAAAAAGGATACTTCCGAATTACTTAATTAGATTAAATTGTCATTTTATTATTAAGCTAATAGTGCGTTTGTTAAAATTGAAATCAGTTGAATCGAGTGATTATCCTGAAATTTATGATGTTGTTGCTGGAGTATATATTTAAAAACATGTTATTTTAATAAATTAATTACGTAAAGATGATAAGCCAAAAAACAGGTGACATAACAGAATAACAGCTCTAAAATTATTGAATACAAGTTGTTTGGGGCGATATGTTCTATAATAATAAGAAGGCTTAAATACTTTTTAGTCCCTGCAAATATGACACTGTTTTATGTCCCTATAAAATATTTTTCTCCCGTCCTTGTAATATGCACTATTTTGGTTTTAGATAATCTCTAAATCCGAAACCAACTTACTCAGAAAAAAAGTTATTGTCAATTGCATAAATCTACTAGAATTATTTACATTTGTCCTTTTATATTTTTTTTTGAGGCTAATATGAGAATTAAAACAACGTGAAACTAAGTAATCACATTTTAAAAATATATATTTAAAACATTCTAAAAAATAAAATAAAATATTTTTTGAATAACATGACAAAGAAATAAAGGAAATCTATTAGTTAAAGTTATTTTGAGATCAAACGGAGATTGTTATCATCAGTGATGGACTAAAAACAAAATCAACATAAATTGCAGAGACAAAAACAGAAAAAATAATTGAGCAGAGATGTAAAACAAAATGTACTACATTTGCAGGGACTAAAAGCATACTTAAATAGTTAAACCTAATAAAACATGTAAAAGTAGGACTGGAGTATCAGAGTTATTGTTTGATTTCTATCACTGCCTATATTTCTAATAAAACACTAAAAGTAGATTTTACTTGTTCTCCAAGTATTTCACTTTACACTTTAAATATCACCTTCCAACTTGTGGAAAATGATCACCATTCTTGCGCAAAAGCTTGTTGTTACTCTGCCAATTTTTCTACTCAATCTATAATTAACACTTTTCATTTCTCCCTCGGTTTCTGCTACCCCCGGGTCAGTGAAGCCATCAAACGGTTTCTACGTTCCCGAAGGACAACGGCTATAATGGAGGATCAAAGGAAGAAGATGGAGACGGTAGGAAGATTTTTGGATATAAAACATGCAAGCAAGAAAGTGTATAAATAGAGCTCTGGCGAGAAGACTCTATTCAAAAGACATCTCTTTAAAAGAAAGGTCACAACCTTTCTTTCAAAACAAAAAGTTGTGTCTATTCTGCCCAGGCTTTATACAAAAGTAGGGAGCATAAAATTAAACATTATCTTTAAGCCATACAAGCGAGCGGACAGATCTAGACCCGAAGTTGACCCGACCAAACTGACACACAACGGCGATGTGTGTGTGTAAGATATAACATCACACTTATTTTACGGGGAACAGTTTCTCATTCATTTCAAAATGATTATCTAATATGACAATAATAATAATTTGCAAAAACATTTTCTCAATAGATATTAGTTGTAAACTTGTAATTCATAGTTGCATCGTGGAAGATAACATTTAAATCATATTAATTTAGTTGCAAAAATATACAAATATGATGCAACAAGTAGTCACATACACTACATTACTTGAACTTAGTAGTCATTAATTATTTTCCAAATTTTAGTATTCAAAATATAACATAAACTATCTAAAAAAGAATAACAGAATTTAAATAAACACACATTTAAGTATTTTAATGACGAGTGAAACCATACTTGGCTTATAAAATTGTTGGTCTACATAAAACATTATTGGGATGAAAAAATACAAAAATCTAACATGTATTAATCTTGAACGGTCTGTCCAGCCAGATATTTTTGATTCTCAAAATCTAGAACCGGTCCTATACCCGTTTCAAATAGTACAGATTCAGTTCGGAATAAAAATCTATAGAACCGTTTGAATACATGATATTCAGTTCGGTACCATTACAGGTCGGTTCAATACCGATTCTGTTTGGTTTTATGCCTGTTTAAGGTTTGGGTTTCCTCAATAGTTGGCCCTAAATTGGCCAAAATCTTGTCCAAATCCTAGGGCGTCCGAAAATTAAGAACCTTAACCTCACTTCGATGAGTGATTTATGCTTTTTCTTTCAAATGATTAGTTCTAAACTTCTGATCTCGGAACCATACTCCAGGAAAAAGTTTTGGGATATATAACTTGTCCCCTTTTTATTATTTAAAATTGGAAAAATCGCACTTTTAGTTCCTGAAATAATCACCATATTGAATGTCAAATTCGTATTTCTGAGATTGTAAATGTCACACCTCAATTGTCCAAATTGCTGTAAATGTGGTCATTTAACGGATGAAATATACTTTTCGCCCACATTGTATATTTCACCCCTCAAATGATTACATTTACACTAATTTGAACAATTGAGGGATAACATTTACAAACTGGGGAACACGGGTATGACATTTCAATATGGTGACTATTCCAGAGACTAAAAGCGTAATTTTCCCTTTAAAATTTACATACCTACAAAAGTCAATATTTAAGAAAATCAAAATTTAGTATGATGAACAAATCATACACATTCACTTTTCTTCCACAATCAAGGAGTACAAGATATATTCGAGTTTGACATGAATTTTATGAAAAATCAAGTTTTAGTAATTGATAGTTTCACCATTGAAACGTTGTAAAGGAAAAAAGTAGCAGTGATCTACTCCCTCCGGTCCTTAATTAACTTTACACTTTCCTTTTTGGGTCGTTCCATATTAAACTTACACTTCCTTATTTGCCTTATTTGGCAAATAAATCTACACTAAACAGTGCAAAACAGTACCAAACAGTGTCAAATAGTGTCAAATAGTGTCGAACAGTGTCAAACAGTGCCAAACGGTACACTCTACAGTAAAATCAAATTTATTTTCTTAATATGTGTTAAGTCAAACTGTAAAGTTTAATAAGGACTGGAGGGAGTATAAAATTTTAAGAGTGAAATGATTACGAGCAAGTAATAAAGTAAATGACCAATTGAGAAAGTTGTAAGATGAATTCTACTCCGTACTATATTTAAGTTTTTTTGAATATACGATACTTTTAGTTACATAAATCAATCGGCATATAACCAATCATTCCAGTCCGGCTGATTGTGAGGTTACCGTATCAAGCGGGAGGTCTCGAGTTCAAAATTCGCTAAGTACAGAAGGGCTTGAAACTAAATGGAGTGAGTTTCAACCCTAATTACTCTAGACTCCCCAACCCCCTCCCCCAGCCCCTGGAGTTAAAAAAAAATCAATCGGCATATTATTGTTGAGTAATTTAAAAAGAACAATAGGGAGTATAATAAAATGATGTGCATAAGTGGTAAGTACCTCAATTGAAATTTTAAATAAAGAAATATAATCCGTATGATTTTCATCTGTTCTCTGACTTGTGTACAAATTTCAACCAATGATTTTTATTTTCTTATTTATATTCCATCCATTAGGCAAAATATTATTCGATTTGATTTGGATCAGAATAAAGTAGAAATGTATAATTGTGGTTGAGAATAAAAGAATTTTTTGGAACGTCCAAAAAAGATACGGAGTAATTGATAAAAAATTGTAGAGAGGGATGAGTAATCCTCGATTTGGAAAGTTTTACGGAAGAATAATTTTTCCCGATTTGACTTGACACACTTATTAAGAAAATGAGAATAAAATAGAATATTACGGGTGAAATAAAAAAGATGTGAAGCAAACGAATTTTTTCTAAGGTAAGTGAGAAAGAATTTTGTGAGTGAGGAGCAGAGGAGGGAGGCACTGTATAAATTTATGGGAGTTTGGACCGTCTTGTTCGTCTGGTGATAAAGCTGCGTGCAACTGAGAACTCGAGGAGCTCTTGTCTCGTTTCTGTCTGTCCAGGAGTGGGAGAAAAATGAAGGGCGTGCTCAAAGCCCGATATGAAATGGACAAAATGACGGCCACCTCAACCGTGTCCGTCAGGTCCGGCGACATCAATCTTCGCGCTTCTATGACTGACGCCACCCTGCTCAACGGCCCCTCCCTGAACGGTTTAGCTTTTGCAGTCGAAAAGCCTGGCTCGTTCATTATCGACTACAACGTCCCCAAAAAGGTACTCCATATCAATCCAATTCCCTACAATTTCCTTGTATTTAACCTCTTGCGTTAATATCCCCAATGCTTATTGGGGTTTTCAGGACCTTAGGTTTCAATTCATGAATACAGTTAGGGTTTTAGAGAAGCCTTTGAATTTGAACTACGTCCACTTTAAAGGAGATAACCGGACAGTCTTGAACGGGACTTTGGTTTTGGATCCTGCTAACAAGGTTTCAGCTAATCACACGATTGGCTCTGCAAATTGTAAGCTGAAGTATACTTTCCTGCATAATGGACTAACCACCTTTGAGCCGACCTATGATTTCGCCAAGAATGAGTGGGATTTTTCTATTTCGAAGAGAGTATACGGTGATGATGTGCTGAAGGCTGTGTACCAGCCGTCCAGCAAGAATGTCACCCTTGAATGGTCCAGAAGCTCAAAGTTGAATGGCTCTTTTAAGGTAATTTGATGTAACCATTGTCCTGTTTATCTGTTTGCGTGATGTGTTTTAATTTTGGTATTTTCTGGTTGCATCTGTTACATTTTTCTTATGCACGAGGAAAATTTTGTTGGTTAGTTTTCAAAGTTTTAACCCTTTTCCTTTTAAACAACTTTTGCCGTTGGATGAGGTGATCTGCTATATGCACATGGTCTTCTTACAGATTTACAGAATAATATTTTTTAGAATATGTGGTCTATTTAGTGTACTTTTTGTTGGTGGCTCTTCGAATTTGGAGTTTTATTTGTGCTCTTCGAATTTGTACTCAAATAAAGTCCAAAAATGTTTTCTTGTTCGTTATGTAGTGAAGCAGACAAGTGATTTGCTAGTTGTTGTATATTTATGAATTTTATTTTGTTGATTTAGGGAGAAGATAGTACTCTAGCATATTCTACCTCCTTATTTTAAGATACCTTTCATCAGTTCATGCAAAAGTAACCTACTTACC